TTAATATTATTATCAAGGCCCCCCCCCCCCCACCCGGGCCGTGCGCAACGGTACTTAGTATTGGCACCTTTTTAAGCGCCACCGTAATAGGCACTCTGTGGTAAGTACCGGCACACTTTCAGACACCTTGTGGTGAGTACTGGCACTTTTTGGGGTCTAGGAAACTTTTACTTTTACTTTTTCCTTCCACGTATGCCGCTAAGCGTTGTGGGGAGATGCAAGTTCCTGTCATAAGCAAGGCGGGCAGCATCTGATGTTCTGAGGCCATGCTTTTGGCAGGTTTCGGAGACCCCGTCAATCCACGTTTCCTTGGATCCTCTTGCCTTATATCCTGAGCTCTTTGGTTGAAAATTTGTGATGTTATTTGATCATTTTTCATCCTGGTTAGATGTCCAAACCATTTCATTCTTTGATGTTCTATGTAGTCTAAACATGGTGTAGTTTTGACAGTGTTTTAATGTCTATATTCTTTACCCTGTCTAGTCTGGTCTTATTCGCTGCTTTTCTTAGACATTTCATTTCACAGACTTCTATTTTTCTTTCATGGGTCTTGGTGATTGTCCATGTCTGGCACTGGTAGCAGAGTGTTGGAATGAAGATGGTGTTTATCTTGTCTTTTGGTCTTCATGGTTATATCTGGAAAGCAGAGGTGATAGATGGTATGTGACAGCATTTGCTTTCTGTATTCTTGGTTTCTATCTCTCTGTCCATTCTTCCATCCTCTGTAAATATACTGCCCAAGTATTTGAACTCTTTGGTTTGCTTGATTTTGGCACTTCCAAATTTATATTCAGTGGCCTGTGTGTTCCTGATCTTCATAACAAATTTTTTGTACTGATTCTCATCTATGTTTAAACAGCTGTTGTTGGAGTAGTCAGATGGGATCATATTCATTTTGATACAGTATGCTTTGATCATCAGCAAAAAGTAATTTTATGGGCATACACGGGGTTTGCTTCTACAGTGTACCATGTGAAAAAGTAATGTCTAGGAAACAAGCCCTGATTATTGTTCCAGTATTACGATTTATTGTGTACTGAATGTCAAATAAAGAAAGATAGCAATATACATGAAATGCCTAAACAAATGTTTTAAACAAAGCATCTATACATGGTTGGAGGTAGGAGTGGGAGCTCTGCTGCCTAAAATTATTGGGTGGGGATGGGGAAGTCTCAAGGTGCCTGAGCTCGAGTTCGACGCCAGAGCTGGGTAGTTATTTACGTGTTACGCTCTCTACAAGTCTTTCTGAAAGAGAAACAAAACCATCTGGAATAAAACTCGCGCTATTTACTCGAAGAAAAATAAGTGCAAAATACCTCAAAAGCAGTGTTTTCTAACGCGAGATCAACGCCCCACAGAGGCAGTTTCATTGTTATGGGGCGAGGGGGAAAGGGGGGGGGGCGGTGGGGGGACAATTCGAAGATGGACTCATCGAAAGTTTACGTTACTTAGGGGGTCATAAGAATTCTAGGGGTGTTATGAGATGTCTTCCTTCGGCGTCTACACATAGCGTGCCCAAGAGTGGCTCGGGTTTGTTCATCGCGGTCGACACAATGTTTCCAAGACAAAAGTGCGCAGCTTCATTTTCGCAGTTTTATTCTCTGTGGACGACTGTTGTTTCTTGGATGTGCTGTTGTTGTAAGTAGGTCTCACATATGCACCGAAGGCGCCTGTGTTCAAGTAAGAAGTACTGCAGGCGGAAGCGCCAGAGGCGCGCCGGTTCGTTAGTATCGAATGTATTTTTATTTTTACGCTCGTCGACGGTGGCTGTCGAAGATGGTGGATGTGCTTAAAACGTTCAAAACGAGTTCTCTTTTTGAAAGCCTTCGGCCTCCTCTCTCCCCTCTACAGGCACACACACGCACACAATAATTTTGCATATAAAGTATCTTTCAAAGTATTTGTTTACAAATTTCATATTATTTCTTACCCATGTGGGTCTCGGGACCCCATGCGGGATGGGGGATTTACCCACTGCCTCCCTTCTTCAGCAGCCAATGCAGTTTTCCAATACCAGTGGTGCTAGTAGCAGTCTGATAATATTCCCGTATTGACTTTCCTCTGAGCGCCGAGCATCGGTCATATTTCCTCGCCACACCTCGCTGCATCAGTTACACCAGAGTGTCATGATCAGTTTGTTGCTCCAAACTGTACACATGCTCCCATAAATCCTTGACCATGTCTGCTTCATTGTGCATCTATATCCCCCCAAGCCTGCCACTCTGTCTGTCTGTTTATTTCCCAGTACACCGGCATCCGCTGGAGAAAAGATCCGGACAATACTCTACACCCGTGACCTCCTATGCACGCCTGTTCTCACCTTCCGCAGCGTGCTTTCTGATTCTGTAATTATCACAATGTTTGTGTATTGTTTTCTCTAGAAAGTGAAAGCCTACAGTGACCGCCTCCACCTCCATTCTTAAGCTGGATGTTTTGGTATTATATGCTAAACTTTCTTGCCCCAAATGTCGACCATTAGCGTTTGCTAAGAACCTGTTGGCACTTCTTTGACACTTAACCATTGTATAAATAATCACATCACCCGAGCGAACATTAACTTGTATTAATTCCACGGAAATAGAAATTCAGTTTCAGATTTATAAGTTGAGATCTACGTTCAATGGATCGATTGACTGACGTTGAACCCTACCAGGACATCACACCGAGCAACAAATACCTGGTGACACAAAGTGCTACCATTCGGTTGAGGATCACCTGGGGACAGGTCACAGAAACCTCATTTAACCCATAGGATGTGTTATATTAGGGTTAGGGCAACAGCCGAAGTGGGGCTTTTAAATAACACCCCCCCCCCCCCCCTCAAAAAAAAAAAAAAAAAAACCCGTGTCTTATGTTATTAAGGTGATTAGCAAACTAGTACCGATTTTTTTCTTTTAAAACTAGGTTAGAGCGTTGTGTACATATCAAATATTTAAGCTCAGTGCACAATCATGCTAGTAACGAATCGAGTCCATCTACACACTAGCTGATGCTGGTAAATGTTGCTAAATGTCAGAGAGGGGTGTTCCGGTGTACTGCTGTATTCACAAAGCTTTCTGCGTTGCGTGTTAATCGTTCTTCTGCGAGGAAGGACTACCAACATTGTGTTCTCACTCGTAATGAGAATTAGTGTTTGTTGGTGGGTATATGACAGCCGTCTAGGATTTTCAGTAGGAAATGAGTTTATTCCAGCTGTCAACTTAGGAGGGCGCGAGGAGAGTAGCGTTGCGTGTCTGCAGCAACACATTGTTTTGCCGGCCACACAATTTAAGAGGTCTGAAACCACGGGACGTAGAATGGACTCACGTGGGACCTAGATTCAGTGTGTGGGATAGGGGGGACCTGGGGTTAAGGTCAGTTGTACATGTTATGGGGTCGTTGAAAGCGCTCACATCTGTAATATAAAGCTCGCGTGGTCGCTGATAAGACCGTCGACAGAATAAAACGACGACCAAGTTGACACCCCTGCCAGTTACACTCGCGCGTCTTAAAGGTGAAGATGCATTAATGAGAGTCCAATCAGAGTGTCCTGGCCTCACAAGTGTGTAGAGCAGGGCTGCCAATGAGATTTTTGTCAAAAACCCAGATGGGGGCTGACGAAAACCCAAGATATGAACAAAAAAAAAAAAAATAAAAAATAAAAAACCCAGCACTGTGCAAAAAGTATTTTATAGTTATGAAATCTAACATGTACTCACCTTGATTAAACTGTTACTCTAACAGCTCTCCTTCTTCACCAATTTCAGTTGTCACCGTCTCTTTCTGTGTTTTTATTCTGTTTAAATATCTTTGACTAACTGCGCCACTTTGCAATTCTTTTTGCAATTCTTTATTAGGTGTCCATGTCGTGCAGTCGCTATTTCCTCTTGTGATTGCTTGCCTTGCAAGAATTCGATCGTTTACGGTGTCAGCTTTCAGATAATTAGTTTGTTTAGTTTTGACACAGATCATCGGGAAAAATATGCGTTCAACCGCTGCTGACGAGTGAGGCAAAATAGTGAGATTGGTCATAAAAGCGGATAAAATGTCATATTTTACATTTTAAGCCATCTTTTATGCTTCTCAATTGGTACCAATTCTGCCATTCCTCTTTGAAACACTGAGCATACCATTTTCTTTTCTTCGATGGTGTAATCTGTTCACTCATTTTGAATTCAACAAGGTTATAATCAGAGTAAATTTTGATAGCACAGTTCAACAAACCACAACACAGCAACAACAACAACAACAACAAAAACAAAAAAAAAAAAAACAAAAAAAAACTAGTTAAAACTTAACTGAAGGTCCCTCCCTAGTAGTCCTTAGTTGGTTTCTGCTAATCTGCTTTCTTTCAATTCAACCAATGAGACGCTACAATGTCAGGTCAATAACCCCTAAAAGAGAGGAAAAGCCTCCCAAACTTTCTTCAATAATTAAATGTCAGGTCCCTTCTTTCTTCTGTAAAGTTTACGATGAAAAGTCCCAGGCTTCATCTATTTTGCTTCTCCGCCCCTAGTATCTGTTACTTAAGGGACACTACTTAGGGATCGTAAATCTGGTCCTTTGGTGGTCTGCTACATTTTTCCTGAACAGCCCTGGAGTTAATCTTTGTATTCTGTTACATTAATTACACTGAGTTTATTTTAAGTGTTTGTAGGACATTCCAAAATGTGGGTAAAACTATTATAGATATGTGTACACACATTATTCTTGTTAGAATATTTATTAATTGTAGTTTTTTTCATCATTAAGACTGAAAACCCAAGATTTTCAATATTTTTAAAATAAAAACCAAGAAACCAAGACGGCAACTAAAAAAAAAAAAAAAACCAAGATCTTGGGGAAAAAACCCAGCATTGGCATCCCTAGAGATGTGGGCCCGATTTCCGCAGAATCTACCATTTTCAGTGGATCATTTATTTAAACTTTATAACAAGAAAGCAAAACTCAGGAAGGATAACTCTTAATAATTTCTCTCACAACTGAACGTAGAAACTTCTCATTTACAGTGTTTATGAACGATGGCAGAGAAAGGGAAAGCGTAAGTATGCAAATAACACACATTTATTAATAATTCAGCTTACTGGAATAAACGTATCGTCATTTCAGCGATGGACTGAAAGTGCTAATTAAAGTACAAGTATTCTTTATTGCCCAGAAAATAATAACATTCAATATATATAAATAAATTGTCAGGCTGTCCTCCGAATCACGGTCCTAAATTATCGAGCCGGAAAATATACCCTCACAGGCCTCAGTCACGTGTCAATTGCGCACTTCCGTCATGTTAAATTGCACACCTCCGCCACCGCTGAGAGTATCCCGTGCGCTGCTTACGCGGCGTGGATTGGGGCTAAACTAGATGGCTGGGACTCACGAGAAGCAGCTACCACATCTTCTGCAGCTTCTTTCATTTTTTTTGCTCTTGAGTCCTAGCCATCTAGTTTAGCCCCAATCCACGCGGCGTGGGGTATACTCTCGGCGGTGGCAGAAGTCGCCGGAAGTTCGAAATTCGGCGGTGGCGCTATAGGCCCCGAAAATGCGCAATTGACACGTGACTGAGGCCCTGTTAGGGTATATTTTCTGGCTCGATAATTTAGGACCGTTTCGGAGGATAGCCAATTTCCATCGCTGATAGAAAGATTAATTACTTTTACTCACACTGTATGGTACACGGAAAATTATAACGATGAAAAAGTATGAGTTATTGGTTCTCCTTTAAATAGCGGTCGCTAGCTGGAAGGCGACGGCCGCTTAGTCGGAGTTCACTCCCCTGGCTTCAGTGCAATTCACGAAGTCACGAATAAAAAAACAACGTGACGTGGACATGGCTGCTAGAGCTAGACCACGCGCTGCGACTGACATTGGCAACTGCGTTCTTCCGACGCAAGACTTAGTGACCGTAGATGTGAGACCTGCGGATCTGTATGTCGTAATGAGCGATAAGCTTGCGTGGGGTCCGTGATGTGTTACCCTACCCCAAACCCTAACCCTACCCCTAGGATAACCGGTAACTATCTCATTTGTTTCGTTCCCTCTTTTCCACTCCCTAATTGCACTGCAGCCAGGGGACTGAACTCCAACTAAGCATATGGGAAGAGCACTCCATATTTTTACAGACCAATTGGCACTAGTTGGGTAATGTGGTCAGCATTATGCCAGCCATCTTTACTTCCCAAGGACATACATCCTGGTACCCATTTCAGGCTGGGTCTACCTGCGAAGCCCCATACCATGATAAAAATCCAAGCCAAAGAAAACATACTTAAGCCTAAAAAAAAACCAATAATTTGGTTGGCTATCAAAGGACCTGAGCTGCAAGTTCTGGTGCCTATGATTGATACTCATACAATGTAAAATAAAAAAGTAAAGTTATAAGAATACATTGGTCTGTTTAAAAATTGAAAGCATACACAGATTCCAGTCATCAAATCATTGGCAAATAATTAACAACCATATTTTGCTGTAGCAATGAGATCATATGTAGACCAGTGACTTGGTGTGACTTTTTTAAAACTAACCAGTCCCAGTAAAAAAGGTAAAGTCGGGAGATGTGAACCAGCGTCATTGCACACAGTTATAAACCTTAAGTGCTCTGCCACCAATACGGACGGCTGATAAGAAACCGTCTGCCTGTGTCGCTGTCCGCACGTAACTCCTATGCTACAGCGATGTTCCTCCATTCACCCCGAGTGTCAACTCTGGTACCCATTTCCTAGAGGCTGGGTGAGCCCCGGGAACCGCCTGGTTTTGAACACCAACCTTGGCTGCAGTGAGTTGCAGCTGGATTTGAAAGCGAGCCTCCTATCGACTGCGCTAATGCAGCTCCAAGTAATAATGCGTTGCTTTCCTTTAAACCTTTACTAGGACAATCAGTGAAGTTCATACTGTAGTGATGCTTTTTACAATAACACTACACAATTTTATCAACATCATTGCCTTTGGTAAGGATGTTCTTGCAAACAAAGTAATTCACTCACTATTTCCTCTCCTCACTCATGCACTCATTCATCGGTTATTTCCCAATATCTCACCCCAGATGGACGTCACTGGACCAGTATATTCAAGGGTGGTAAGAGCGGATTTCCCGCTTTCTGTATATCTGCCAAGGTTTTGGCGCATGTCTTCTTCCCGCAGCGTCTCTCCAGTGACTGGTGTTGAGTCTTCATTGCCTAGAATTTCCTGGAATTAGCAGCATCGGTGCCTGACAAGGAGAGCAACGTTGCTTTCCTGAAACATCATGGCATTCTGCATAGCGACAGTGTTATCGTTGACGGAAAACCACTACTGATGGCGCTTCTAACGACCCCAAAACATCTACAACTGGCCCTAACCCCAGCCCACCAATGTCCCACAAGAGAGTGTAGCCTAGGTCTTCCTACCTAGACAAAACAATGTTGTTGTCAGCTGCCGGCGATATCGAATGCTCTATATTCCACGACAGAAGCGCTTTTAATGACCAGAAAACATCTGCAACTGTTCCTGACCCCAACACACCTAGGTCCCACGAGAGAATGCAGCCTAGGACCTCCTCCCCAGCAAAAAATAAAAAAGCTAGCCAAGGTCCTTCTTCCCAGCAAACAAACAAGACAACACCCACAAAAACTGCATTACACACAGAATAACACAGCACACAGACAATAAAATGCACACACACACACACACAACAAACCACAAGAAGCACACAAAACTGAAAACTGCACGGCAAATGAAATGCCAAATTACTAACTATAGGCTTTATCTACCACCCCCTGAAATATTAGACTGTCCCGTGACCTGTAGATTTCCCTTGTTTGGAGTGAGATATTAAAAAGAACCCATTCATCCTCTGTAACTGACTCACCTATCAGCTCCCTCACCTCTCTGTCCCCTTCCTCTCACTTTCCACTGCCTCTCTGCCGCATCATGACAACTGCACAATATTTCTACATTCAACATCAGCTATGCTAAACATTTAGTCCCGTCTGGGTCACAAATAGGGTTGTGAGTCTAAGGTCACTGCTGGTCCTCCCACAACTTCTCTTGTAATGTAGCTTCCGTGGGCAAGATCCGTAATCTTTGCTGGGAGTAGTGCTGCACAATATTAACATGGGTCATTTTTTTAAACAGGTATGGGCTCATCTTGTCTCAGAAGAAATCAGAACAGATAAAAACAAAGTCAGCACAGCCGGCCTTTAATGTATTTGGCAATGACAGTGATGAGGTAAGCAAAGAGTAGCTGCTTTTGTGTCATGCATGTATGTATGTATATGTGTGTGTGTGCATGTTCGTATGTATGTGGATGTGTGTGTGTGTATTGGGTGCCTATGTGAATGGGTTTGCGTGTGTATGTAGGTGTGTGTGTTCACACGTGACCATGCACACATATTTTACCACCTATGCCTTTGTTTTTGATTTGATATTCATAATATGCATATTATTACATGAACATAACATGCTTTATTGATGAAATACAACTGCTGTGTGAAAGGGCCGAATGTAAGACAGGCCTGCATCCCTAATTAATAACCCTTTGAAAATAAAGTTTGCTTGTTCGTTCAGAAAAGATATCAGTCCAGATGCTTCTTCTTCTTCATCTTTGTTCATCGGCGGTAAGCTCCGGCAGCAAGTCTTAGGTTGTTCGTCCATTTGGACTTGTGCTTTGTGTCAGGGCCTGAGTTTTGAGTGTACATCCATTTTACTGGCTTGTTTGTGTGCAGTTAGTTGTTCCTTGCCGCTCGGTCAGATGCACTCCGACTTTGAAGGAAATCCCCAATTAGTCGACTCCTACTACTTGCTTATTGGGGAATCAATGGGTCTGTTCTTGTTATCCCCACAACGGGGTCCCAGAACCCACACGGAGAAGTCCAGATGCAAAGTAGAACTAGTTAGCTTAACATTGTCACAACTGACAAACAGTAAATGAATGTTTTAGCTAGAAAGCCTTCATCAGCATATATAAATGGACAATGATACGGCAACAAACAAGATTACACTTAATCATTTATCTTTAAAGTAGAAGTCTCTTGCAGAAAATAAGCTACATGTTGACACGTTACTGTTTACCAAAGATGGCGGGATGGATGAAGAATATAAAATCTGAGCAATAAAGCAAACCAAGTATTGGATAGCTAATGCCCCTCCTTCATCACTAAAACAGTCTTGGACAGCACAGAGAAACATCTCATACAAAGCATATTCATCCCCTCCCTATGATACCTGTACCAGACTCACTCACAACAAACCAGACAATAATAATAGTAACCATGCAAATGAGATGTTTGAGAAAGGCTGCGGGAGCGACCCGAAGATAAACATGCTGCGGGAGCAACCCGAAGATAAACATGCTGCGGGAGCGACCCGAAGATAAACAATCACAAATGAAGTCGTAAGAGACAAAAGTTGGCACAGAACCAACAATAATTGCAAACAGATTTTTGTGTATCCTTTACAGGATGTTGCAGAACCAACCCTAGCATTTTTTTAGGGGGGCTATTATAGTTTTTCTAGGCAAAATTTTACATTCAGTAGTTTGCTTTTGCTTTCTGAATGGCCAGCTCTCGGTACCACTGTCGAAACCAATGCAAGATGGTCAGCTGCCAAATCGCCTGCAGCTGGGTTTGAACCCGGCACCCTGGCGTTATGAAGCATGTTTGCACACCTAAGCCACAGATGCTGACAAATTGCAAACAGCAAATTAAATTGCTTGCCCACATAGAAATAAAATGCCTTATGACACCATACCATACAAGGCATAACGAAAAGAGGAGAGGCATGTAGAGCACAAGGTAAACCAAGAAGAAGATCTCAAGACAACGTCAGACGAACTGTACAGCTATACAACATGACCCTGGCTGAGGTGACCAGAAGAGAAAAAAGCAGAACCTCAAGTCTTTCCCTACAACCGAAGCAGTACAAGTGGAAGCGAAGAAGAAGCAAAATTAGATTGTTGTACCTGATGACTAAATACTGTCAGGCTGTAAATTCTATCTGTCTGTCAGTGTGTGTAATTTAAACAAAAATGATTTCTGCAAATGCAAGCCGAATATCATCATTATTGTCCTGTTGTGCCATTATATGTCACATAGGGCTTGAAGTCTAATCCTCCATTCTGCTCTTTGCTTTGCAGTCACTTCAGCATTATGGACGGAATCCAGCACCTTTGGCTTCTGTCATCATTGTTCTGCTTAAGGGTTTCTCTTTGATGTCCATGTTGCCCCAGTTCCTCTGTATCCCATTTCTATGCCTGCTTGGTGATTCTCTGTTTGTCTTTTCTCAGAATGTGTCCAATATAGCGCCATCTTGTCTGTCCTATAACTGTTGATACTAGTGATTACCCAGACATATCTCTTATTTCTTCGATTCTTTTGAATTTATTCAATTTTTTAAAATTCATTTTTTCCCTCAGGCATTTGTTTTTGAACGCATTTAACTTTTGTTCTGTATCTTTAATGGCCCTCCAATTTTTACTGACGTATGTTAAAGGTAAAATAATATCAGAATTGAACATACATAACTTGTTTTAAATAGTGCTGTTTTTGTAAACTGGTAAAGGTTAAAGGATCAACTTCATTGCACAAGGTTTTATCCCATGTAGCTCAGTATCTCATCACGGAGCTCCCATTTTGTAAATTGTAATATATTCTATGACTGACTTATACAATATTACTGTTGTCTTGTTTATAGGATGAGAAACCACGTATACCTGTGAGCATTTTTGGCCAGAATTCAGGGCCCAGCAAAATAAAGAGACAGGTTTGTTGCATTAACTCTGCACAGTTAAACATAGTAAAAGTTTAATCCTTGTTTATATATAAGATTTCCTTTGAAGATGGAGAGCATCTGCCTGAGAGGCAAGGAACCAACAGTCTGCATAAACATAAGCTAAATCTGTCAGATTAATGTGCACATCAAACTCACATTTTGGAACAATCAGAACTTGTCCACAGGAGGTTTACAACCGGGGAATGATAAGATGAAGAAGTATGTAAGATGACTGACCTCATTATATCAGGTTATATCCCATCTGGCTCAGTCTCCCCACAGAGCGGCAGTTTGCCCACTGAGAGCAGGGCATGAAACTTTCTAGTCACTGTGTTTGCTGACCCTCAGGTGTCATGTGAAACACCCGCACCCATGAACTAATCAGTGGAGTCAGAAACCGAACCCACGTTGTTCAAAGCATGAGGCAAATGGCCTAACAACTTCACAGCTCAAACTCCATTATGTAGAAACATTAAATAAGCAAACATAAAAACATGTAAATGTCTTCACACAAGAAGAATCTGAAATTAGGAAAATCTAGTTGATCTGAAATTATGAAAATCTAGTTGGGTGCTTTATTAATATCCTATCCCAGATGACGTCACAGGACAGTCCAACATTTTAGGAGAGGTAAGACTGGGTTTCCCGGATTTCTGATGCTTTTAATGACCCCAAAACATCTAGAACAGGCCCTAGCCCCAACCCACCTATGTCCCACGAGAGAGTGCAGCCTAGGTACCACGGTTGCCTGCAGCCTATCTACCACCCCCTAAAATATTAGACTGTCCCGTGACCTGTGGATTTTCCCTGTTTGGGGTAGGATATTAATAAAGCACCTCTACTGGCCCTTAAAATTGCAGTGAGCACATTATGGTGTTCTGGTTTACAGCTAGGCTGAGATATCTACCATTTGGCCCAACAAATCTAATCTTAGCAGACCTCTAATTGGTCCCCATTTTTTTTTTCAAGGGACAGTAAGTCTATCCCATTTATTTCCACAAATGTGGAACCCACACAGGACTAAAAACTATTTAAAACTCCCATATTTAAAGCTTTTAGCTGGTGTCTGTGCAGAACCGAAGGAATAAAATAGTATAACAAAATCATTGTTGTGAAGCTATGGTAAAGAACTAATCAAATTCCAGTGAATCCAGAGATAAGAGAGATGAGGAAAGATAATGGTGCTGAATATGATACATATGGAGAAACCTTTCTATTTCTTATAGTTCATGCCATGTGGCATTGGTAGTCATGCCAATCCACAACCTTCTGTCTCATGTACTTTCAGCCAGTTCTGACACAAATGATTTTCCATGCAGTTTTCTTTTTTACCTCCAACTTTCCCACCATCACAGTGTACACCGCTGTTCTCCTTCTTGTGATGTGACAAAGATATGAAGACCATCACTGTTCTCCTTCTTGTGACGTGACAACGAAATGAAGACCATCACTGTTCTCCTTCTTGTGACGTGACAAAGAAATGAAGACTGTCTCATTCTGAAATGGCCTGTCAGTTGAGAAACCCAGATAATTTAATTAGAATGTTCTTGAATTGGAACTCACCGTCCCTGTGTGGATTCCAGGGTCTCATTTTGGTGGGAAAAGAGAATAGACCCAGTGTCCTCATGACAAGCATGTCATAAGAGGTGACTAACTAGAGGGGTTTCCTTTATAGTCAGAGTGCATCTCTCTGAGTAGCAAGGAGTCAAGAGTCTGAATATAGATAAGCCAGATCTGTAAAATGGATGTACCTGGTATAAGACCAAAGTCTAGAAGTGAACAACTAGAAAATTACCTTGCTGGAATTTACAGCCAGTGAAGAAGAAGAAAAAGAAGGAACCCACAGGGCAAAGAAATAGAGGGAGACTAAGAAGCACAATGACATGGAAATTGGAGACAGATGAACAGGACGGGTAGACATAGAGTGAACTGCAGGCCATGGCAAAGGATAGGAGTTTGAGGCACTATGCTAGGGCTATTCAACTAAGTTCACTCAGGGTCCAAAATTTTGAAACTGACGATTGTCACGGGCCAGAGGCGTGAGTCCTAGGATAAAAAGATCATCAGTACAATATAACTGGCAATGATCCTCTGGCCAATTGCTAGATCTTCGCAGGCCGGCAGTTGAATAGCCCTACACTATGCTTTTAAAGTGAGTAGTAGATAAGCCTTATTGGGGAGCTGTGTGGCTTAAAGGTTAATGAATGCGTTTACTGATTTGTTGAAACTGCTGCTTCAATGAAAGATAAAGTCTAAAGAAGATCTATAAAAAAAAAAACCAGATTGCAAAAGACAGGGGAAAGAAAAGACAGAAAAGGGTAAGAAAAACATAAAGTACATCAGCTTTACAAAACCATTTTTATTGTAAGTAAAGCTGACAGGCGTATACTTTCTTTTTTCTTAACCTTTTCTAGTCTTTTCTCTTCCCTTACCTTTTGCAATTTAAAAAAAACACTTTTATAGCTTTGTCGGCATCCGTGGCTTAGGCGTCGCAAACGTGCTTTGTAATGCCTGGTTGGCGGGTTCAATCCCTGCTATGGACGCTTTGTCTTGCGCTGGTTTCGACAGTGGTATTAAGAGCTGACAATTCAGGAAGCAATGGCAAGCTACTGAATGTAAAATTTGCCTAGAAAAATCACAACAGTCAATAGAGGCTGGGGTTAGTTCTGCAACGTCCTGTAAAAGGACGCAACTGACTAACTTTTTTATAGCTTTACTGCAGGGACCTCATCAATGATAAACTGCCTTTCTGGTGTAAGACTGTCATGTTAGCACTTCTGACTGACTGCTTCCTTAATGCTGTAGGCTTTGCCGAGATTAAAGCCTGCATCAGTTAGTTCACAAAGAAAGAACGGTGATAGGCATTCTGTGTGGTTTTGTTGGCACACACAAAATGTTGTTAAATTAAGAATCAACATCATAGCATTCGGGAAACCCCCATCTCCATCTTCAGCAGCAAACGAAGAGTTCCAGTTCCGATGACACCAGTAACTGTCTGATTGTATATCCATCTTATCCTTCCCCTGAGTGTTGAGCGTTGGCCAGATCTCCTGGTAACTCCTCACAGCGCCATTCTCCTTAGACTGTAATGATCTGTTTGCGCTGCCGCACTGTTCACTTGCTCCCAGAGGGCACTCACGTCTAGCTTGTCATACATCAGTTCACCACCAAGTGGTGCAGAACCAGCCAGTCTATCTGCCTGCTCATTTCCCAGCACACGGCGTAACCTGGAGAGAATATCCAAAGGATACTAACTGCCTGGGACCTCTGAAGTGATGCTGGCCACTCTGCACTGAACATACTTGTTTCCACCTTTCTTAACGTGCTCTGTGAGTCAGTTACAATCACTGCATGTGTGTACAGCTGATTCTTAAGCCAGTGGAAGGCAGCAGTGACTGGCTCCACCTCCATTCTCAAACTAGATGTTGTGATATATGCCAGGTTTTGTTGCACTAAGCGACATCCGTTTCGTCTTTACTATAAACCCCCCATGCACTTTGTCTGTCCCTCAACACAGAGCCATCAGAAATGGAGCAACTGTGGCGTGACCCATTTGCTGTGATGTTGGAACTGTCATCACATGATTACCTGAATGCATTTCACAGTTTCACATCCTCACCTACCAGGGTTTAATTCCAGCTGATTTAAAAAAAAATTTTTTTAAATTGGCGTTAAGGCAGTGGTAAAAGTATGGCACCATAAATATGGCTGGGGCCTTGCTATAAAATATTCTTAAAAACAGCTGTCATTGGGATACACAAAAGCCAACCTTTCATTGTGGAAATGGGACACAATGTATTTTTTTGTTTGTTTCTTTTTAATCCAGAAGAGTTGTATATCATGGAGTTGCTCTACAAAAATGTACACAGGAGATTCCTGACTTTAAGCTGTGCAAACTGTTTTTTGTTTTGTTTTTTCAAATATAGGAAATCTATCCATTATGGAGTTTCTCTATGAGAATGCACACCAGAGACTCCCAACTTAAAGCTGTGCAACCTGGTTTTTCTTCTCCAGGAAGGCTATCTGTAATGGAGTTTCAGAATACACATCTGAGATTCCCAACTTATAGCTGTGCAACCTGGTTTATTTTATCCAGGAAGAATAGTGTTTCTTTATCAAATTGCACACCAGAGGCTCCCAGCTTAAAGATGAGCAGCCTGGTTTATTTTATCCAGGAAGAATGGTGTTACTCTATCAGAATGCACACCAGAGGTTCCCAGCTGTGCAACCCTGGGTTTTTTGTTTAATCCAAGAAAGCTATCTATCATTGAGTTTCTCTAACAAAATGCACAGCTGAGATTCCTAACTTTAAACTATGCAACCCTGGTCTTAACATTTGCAGGCACAAGTGGACATTGACAAGGCTCTGTTGCAAGACCCCAACATTTATGAGTACGATGCTGTGTATGAGGAATTGCAGGCTAGCAAGCCAAAAGTGGGAGCAAAAGATAAAGATAAGAATAGTGCAGATAAAAAGGTAAGTGGTTTCATATGGTTTATATAAATGTTACAGATAAATTGTATGTTTCAAGTAGATTAAGGACTTTACTTTTACAAGAAGCAGCTGTGTTAATGTTTGCTATCTGTGATTTTTCTTTAAGATTTTTGTGTTCTCTTGACATTGACTGCTATTTGTTTGCATGTTTCCAAGGCAGAAAACATATTTTTTTGGGTGACGACCCAGACAGATCACCGAATCCAGGACTACTGTGCGTTACCACTGTCATCCAGAGAAGCTGCAGAAATGACAGTTCTGGTTGGGCCCTGTTTTAGTAAATGTCACTTTTCCGACTTACTTGTCTAGAGCGTTACTAACGAGGTGCATAGTTTATGCTGTTTGCTGAATTATGCCTGTGGAGTGGTTCAGGAGTGGGATGTCAGTATAGTTGCTTAAAAAAAGAGCAATAAGTTGGCTTTCCTTGTGAATCAGATGATTTTTTGAATCCGAATTTGAGGTGATTAATTGTCTGTTGCCTCAGTGATATAAGTTTTTGGGGCACAAATCACCTGATACATATTTTGTTTTAGACCCTGGGAAATTCATTCCATTTAACACTTTACTCTGTTCAAGTTTACTGTTTACTACCTTTAAATATCTTTGTATATTTCAAAATAAAATATACATAAATAAATTTGTTTTAAAACTTTTAGTTACCTGTGTAAAAATATTTGTTTAAACGATTTATTGGGAATTCCCATGGTGTGGTGGGCCATTTTATTTTTAGTGTTCTTTGGTGAATGGGTTAAGCACTTCCCATTACTTTCCCATGAACATAAAACAGGGTCTGCTTGACCAGTAATAGAAAATAATTTTTTTTTTTTTTTTTTTTTTTTTTTTTAAATTTCAGCCAAAATACATAACAGGCCTTTTAAAAGCTGCAGAACAAAAGAAAAAGGAAGATGAAAAACGAAAGGAAAGAAAGGTGAGGGTTATATCGTAGAGTATTTACCTGTTCATATATACCTACATTTCTTACTACATTTTTTCCTATCTGTCACAGACCTCTGGGTGACCTTGCTGGTCCGTGGCTCGTAACTGGGCTCATGACAGACAAACTAACCTTTAACACACACTGAACCAGAACGCACACAGAGCACACACGACAATCTTTATTGCAAGTACAGGTAATACAATAAACAGTTGACTTCCCACCGTGTGGCCACCAATTGCTTGGACCCTCTGGCCGAACGAGCTTTACAATCGCCTCGCTCTCCAGTCCGTTCCACAAGCAATCTCACAGAACATGTACATAACTGATTTAACTGTCAGAAGTAACTGGAACCTATTTACTTCTTATGGAACAACACAATACCTTGTACCAGTTAAATACACAGCGCAAAAACTATCCTATTCTAACAGAACACTGTACATAATCTATGCAGTCACTAACAGAAATATCCTAACTCTAATACACTATCACTGTCTCGCTACACGTCTGCTTCGTCTGACCGTCACACACCGAATGTCCTGTGTTCTCTCCACCTCGTGTCTCTTGACCCCATTCACCAGCTCAGTCCCAAAAGGGGTAATCGTGTTGCGGACTTGTCTACAACAAAGTTCACTCGTTCTTGTCATGGCCAAGCGCTTTATCCTGAGCGCTGGTTTCACCGTGCAATAACAGAACAGACTTGACCAGTCACGGCCCTGACCTTTGTGTCAGCCCTGGGGTGTCACCTCAACACACACACCTTACGGTGTGGTACATTCCGCCACTGACTGTACTCACAGGGTTGTGACACTGCCTAACTACAAATTATCTATCTACCCTCCTCCTACTTACCTATTTACATACCTAGCTTTGTGCGTACCTGTCTGTCTTCCTGTGTGCCTGCTTACATCATAAATTGTTGAAGACATTGTGGTGACAAACCTTCAACAGCAAACATTTACAAAAAAACCTGTGTTGGTTCTAGTCTTTTACCTATAGTGGAATCCCAGATCTTGCACCACATATTCATTTGAGGATGTGTTGACCCTGGAGCCTTCGGTCATTTATACAGGGTTATTCAAAATTATGGATACACTTTCATTAATGTATATTTCCTTGAATGTACGTTACAAATTAACAATATACATTTAAGAGAGAGAGGATAGTCTACAGTTTTGAATACTACCGCTAGAGCCCAGTTGCCTCCAATTGCATTACCAACCAATTGAGCGCGCATGCATGTGCCACCAAGGACCCCGCAGATGCTTCTTCGTGTGTGGGATAAGTTCGGCTACCGCTTAGATGTTTGCTGTGCAGCAGACGGTGGCCATATTGAACATCTATTACCTCTGAAGCATGTTTGTAAACTTTAGACCTTCCTCTCTCTCTCTCTCTCTCTTGTATGTATATTATTAATATGTAATGTATACTTAAGGAAATATACATGAGTGAAAGTATCTCCATCATTTTGAAAAACTCTGTACAAGTCGGCTTCAGTGTGGATTAGAACTGAGACTTTCAGGACGGAAGGCAGACTTCTAGCATCTGTGCTAGTGCAGTTCCTTACAGCTTTTTATATTCTTTTTCTTCATCATCAATTTCACCATCTGTAAACTGCTGTGGAAATTCTTGGTTGTTCATTTACTTCTGGAATTTGGTCTTGTTCCAGAACTTGAGTTTTGTGTGCACATTCGCTTTACAGATCTGGCTTATTTAAATGCAGTCTGTTGGTTCCTCACCTTTCAGAAAGATGCACTCAGACTTGGAATGAAAGGTCCCTAATTAATTGTCTTGTACAGTATTCTTGTTAGGGGGACAGGAGTCTGTTCTTTCTCTTCCCAAAATGGCAACCCTGGGACACACATGGGAAATAGACTGAAATGGGGAAAATCCTGGACAGATCACGCTAAGGACGCCATCAAACATGTTTGCCGCCTTACTGACATTAACTTTGGAATTGAATGGATACCCATGCCTCCTGCACTAAACATTAACATTATAGTGCACATCATACTTGACGGAAGCTGTAAAGAGCAGATTCCTGGCATTGTGGACACTTTAGTCAGAACACTGATTGACGAAAACACAAATGAAGGTGATGCTATAGTTTACACAGATGGGTCAGTAATTCGGGGCAAGTGAAGTGCATGGGCATTCACAGTAAGCTCAAGGGGAAAAAACCATCAAGGAGATGAATGGCTCCTTTGCTGTCATAACTAGCTGCCTTACAATGGAAACTATGGCTGTAACAAGGACATTAGCCTGGCTTGGTACTCAAGAGTTCACTCACAAGTGTATACTTAGCGACTTGATGAATATGCTTAAAAAAATCCAGGCTGATTTTGTCAGACAAGAATGGATAGCAACACTTAGCACTTCGTGAATGGCTGTCTTAACCTTCCTCTTTGTGCCAGGTCATGCAGGCATTCAAGGGAATGAGTATGCAGATCATCTTGCAGACACTGCAGATGCTATGACTGGTCCGGTACTGGACAGAAGCGATGTTATCAATGCCATGCGCAGCACTTACTGTACTGAGGAGCATGCCAAAGGACATGACTCTGTACCCCTCTGTTGTGTGTCAAATCTATGTGAATTGGCACAGGCACGTTGGCCAGTAAATTCATGAAGTGTCAAGGAGGCTTTAGTCAACATTCATTTCAATTGTGTCGGGTGAAACCTGGCGCACGGAGGTCTGCTTGAATTGAGTTGAGTCGCGAGAATTACTGGTGTGCTTCTCATGTATCTGAGAATGCACAGGGCACTCACTCAGGAAATATACTTGGGTAAGTCTCAAGGATTATGGATTAAGAGAGAGTTGAGAGGAGACTGCCTTGCTGAGAAGACGTGGAGTTTTTCTCTGGTTGAGCAAGCAATCATTCTACACGCGGGGACAGGATCGTTTCCTCGTTGATGTATGGCTATTGTTGTGAATCAAAAGGACTCAGAATGGTAATTTTCTGGCCAGTTCATTGTGTAGAATTCCTGATGGACATGGGGGTCCAGCCTGGAGATGAGAGAAATAAACAATACGCTAAGAGTACTAGATGTTTTATTAATCAGCACAGAATAGGTGTCAGGTTGATAACTTCTTTTCCTTCTTCTTCTTCAATCCTCCTGTCAGAAAACTGATATCAGGAGGCCGGTAGCCTTTATGAAAGCTATCGTGCAGTCCATATCTTCTCGTGTACCATACAGTTTTGTCTTCATTGTAGTTGGAACAGGCCAATTGTGTCCTTCTGTCAGCATACAGTTGACAGTGTTGGAGCACATGCTCAGCATTTTCCGGTGCCCAGTTGCAGGGGACGTTGATATGAATAAACTCTAATCATTGTATCCTGACTAATATTTGCTATAACTTCTTTCTTAGGTTCAGAAAGAACGAGAAGCAGAAGGAGATATGTTCGCAGACAAAGAAAAATTTGTCACATCTGCTTACAAACAGAAAATGCTAGAAATGCAAGAAGAGGAGGAAAAAGAGAAACGAGAGGCAGCTTTTGAGAGTACGTACTTTGGAGTTGGTGATGAGGTCTTTGAAACAAGTTTTTCCCTATATGGGTTCTGGGGTGCTATTCTGTGAGAAAACAGAATAGTCCCACTGTCCCCCCTAACAAGCAGGTAGTACAAAGGTGACTAATTAGGGGAGCTTCCTGCAAAGATGGAGTACATCTGCCTTTAAGGTGAGGCACCAACAGTCTGCACACAAATAAGCTAGATCTGTCAAATGGATGTGCATGCAGAACTCAAGTTCTTGAACAAAACCAAAGTCCAGGAATAGGCGAATAACCAGCACTTTTGGCCAGAGTTTACAGCCAATGAACTTTGAGAAGAAGAAAAAACGAAAAACAAGTTTTTTTTTAAATTATATAATTGAGTAGTTTGGCAGGAGCAGCTGGCCAATTGTTATAGCTATAATGCGGGAGGCTCGGGCTTGAATCCTCAGTAGGGTCGGGGAAATCGTTTCTGCTAGGAGCAAAAAACTGAAAAATCCTAACCTACACAGCCCATGCGCTAGCCATACAACAAGTTTCGTGCGGCAGTTTTTCTCACCTGATGCAAGACTTTGAAATGTCACCCCTTAAAAGCTTTGTGCTGTCAGATCAAAAGTTTGAATTATATTTTGATTTAGTTGCTTATTCTGCTCTCTTGAGGTGCCACCTCTTTGTAGCATGGCACGGCCCTGTATACAACCCTAGTTCATCAGCCTCAAGACTAACCCCTTTTATTCCTGATACATAATTTTAGATGACTGTCATAAAGAGAATTGTTTAATCCAGTGAATTTTCAAACTGTGTGCCGCGGCGCCCCTGGAAGCTGCGGCCTCTTCACAGGCGCGGCACAAAATATTTGAAGATGCACGAGTTATATTTTTTATTATCTCTTACACACGAATAATAATACTTTTACTTAGGTTAGGGTGGCGTTGAAAAATTGTAATTGAAAAAAGGGCGCTGGGACTAAGGAACGTTTGGGAAACACTGATTTAATCCAATAAACTGTATGAGAAATTTCTCTTTTTAATACATTAATTGTGGGATTCATTTTAAAGAAAAGCTTACTGCATTTAAAAAAAAGAATTTTTTTATAAAACATTTTAAAATGTTTTTTCTTCGAATTTACTCTTGCTGTATACCTTTTTTCCCCTTCAGCCATGACTGAGGTTACAAAACAAAAGGACATGAGTGGCTTTTACCGTTACTTATACAGGGAGACAACCGGGACTCAACTAAAGTCTGACGAAAGCAAAAAGTAAGTTGTCTGGTAGTCTGCTGCATGGGATTCACTGGGAAGATCACGGGTAGTGAGCATACTTTGGATATTTTCTCCAGGCCATGCCGGCGAGGAGAGTAATGAACAAGCAGACAGATTGGCTGGATCCGCACCACTGTGTGGTGAACTGATACATGACAGGGCAGATGTGGTCAAGGCCCTTTGGGAACAAGCAACGGAATCAGTGGAGAAACAAGATTATTATGGCCTGGAGAGAATGAGACACCTGGGTGTAACCAGAGGGTCTGGCCGGCCCACTACATTCAGAGGAAAGGCAAGACGGACATATAACCAGATTGTGACTGGTACCATCAGTATTGGAACTCTGCGCTGGCTGCTGAAGATGAGGACGGAGCACACATGGAAAAGTCCTGGGTGCTGTAATGTTAATTCTTGACTCAGCTCAACTCTACGGCAAGGCTATTCAACAAAATGTACTTAGGGGCCAAATTTGTTTAAATGAGGATTATCATACGCCAGGTCTGAGCTCCAACCTAGAAAGATCATGAATACAGTGCAACTGACAATGACCCGCAGGCAGCTTGCTAGACCTCTGCAAGCCAGATTTGGCCCATGGGCCACCAGTTGAATGGCCCTGGTCTTATGAAGGGAATGTCCAATGTGTAGTGACGTCGATTGTGAAAGCATAACATAACTTAGGAAGGGTAACTTTGTTCAGATGCCATAAGTTACATTAGGGATATACATTTATGCAAGGCTTTCCTGGTACCATGCCTTCTGCTGTTAATTTTTTCAGTCCGCCATGGTACTTGATAAGACTAAAATGTTTCAACTTCCGAGACAAAATGCTGTTTATTAGCCAATCTTCTTTGATGTTCAGTTCTTATAGAATGTCAGTTTTTCTTTACTTCTTTGTTGATTGTATGAAAAAGTGTACAGACAGATAATTCTCTTCTTAATGTGATGATGAAAGGTAAAATAAAGATGGAAGAAAAGAGGAAGAAGACACCAGTTGTGGTAATTAGTGGCTGTCGTCATTATCGGGTGGTTTGGCAGTTTTGGCTAGTTTTGAAGTTTCCTAATTGTGGTTTACCATTCTAGTATTTTTCATACAAGTACGAGAGCCACACTGTGGGAGAGATTGGGACCTCACCACATCATCTTCCCTATGACAGCAGGGGATGCAGATGTCGACTGCAGCCAAGCTCCATTGTGAAGACAGCATTTCTTTTTCAATTATTGGTTTGCTAATTTCTTCTTTGCATTCACTAGCTCTGGTGGAAAGTTCTTGTTGCTCATCCCATTCTGGGACCCCCCACCACCCCCCCCCCCCCCCCAGCCAGAACTTGAGTTTTGCATGTACATTCGTTTTACAGATCTGCCTTTATAATAGTATGTAGACTGTTGGTTCCTCACCTCTCAGGTAGATGTACTCCAACGTCCTCCGACCTTAAGGGAAACACCCTTAGTTGGTCACGCTTTTGACAGCAGTCTTGTTGTTAGTAGGGAGGTGGTGGGGTTTAATCCCCCCAGAATGAGCTCCCGGAACTCACACAAAGAGTTTTCTTGTATTATATCCTCTACCGTGGCTCTAGAAGCAGTGTTTTTCCCCCATCAGTGTGACTCTGAATAAAATAGACATAACACCACCAGATGTTGATAAACAGGAGGACTTTAATGAGCTGCTATTTGCCGACGATCAGTGCATATTCCACAGTGAAAGTAAACAGCTGCAGGACCAGATAAACCAACTACACGACAGTTGCCTTAAACATTACATAATAATCAGTATTGAAAAAACAGAAGTCATGAGAATAAGTAGAGAGCAACAAACCATCGACATAAAGATCAAAGTCTGAAACAAGTGCAAGAATTTAAATACTTGGGAAGCATCTTTACACACAATGGTAAAACAGACAGAGAGATAGAAACGAGAATCCAAAAAGCCAACAATGTCACATACCAACTTGCTCCAATTTTAAAAAACCCTGCTATCCCAGTAGAGACAAAAAAGACAAATTATAAATACAATATTTATACCCACTTTAGGTTACCAATGTTAGACTTGGACATTGACAAAAGAACATGAAAGAAAACTAACCGCCTGTGAGATAAGATGTTTGAGAATGGCTGTTGATAAAGCCAGAAGAGATTGAGGGAGAAACGACGTGATCACAAAAACTGTTGGAACTATACCCATGAAATAAAATGAAATGGTTTGGCCATCTAATGAGAATGAAACCAACGATGCCAGCAGTAAGAGCTTACAACCTGAAAATTGAAACATCAAGAGGCAAGGGAAGACCGAGAAGAAGATGCATTGAAGGAGTCACTGACGCCTTGAGACTGCATTTTATCACGGCATATCAAGCGACTGAGCGTGCCCTGGCTCGGTTGCCGATCGTCTGATGAACTGCAATGCCTGGTGGCATAAACAGATATTGACAAAAGAAAGAAGAAGTATGACTCTGAGTGTGGTCAAGTCTCATAGAAATAAGTACCAGACCATATTTTTTAGTCTGCTACCCAAAGGTTTGACCACTCTGAGGTTACAACATTTCAGTCTGGATGGCAAGCCAGCAAAGACAAAACCCCAGATACCTCCTCATTCACTTTCTAAAGACCTTATAATTGGGGCAGTAACCTGTGTAGTAACCTGCAAGGCTACACAAGTAAGGATGTTTTTTCCTGCTGTTATTGTGTTTATAAGAGTATTTTTTGTTGCTACCTGTGTATTACCTTGATCGTTCAGCCAACACAAAGAATAGTAACATTGGCCTGCCAGGCATAACTTCAGGTTTCAAAGGGTTTCACCTATGGCATAACGTAATAGGTAACTACAAAGGTTTTCACCTATGGCATAACGTAATAGGTAACTACAAAGGGTTTCACCTATGGCATAACGTAATAGGTAACTACAAAGGGTTTCACCTATGTTTTGTCAAGACCATAAGAGGGAAGCAAATTAGTGTAAAACAAAGTTGAATTAAAGTGCAGAGGAGTGACTTCATTTGCACCAGGTTTTTTTTACATGTGGCTCGATCTCTTGCCACAGAATGACTAGCTGCCTACGGAAGGAATTGCATACAGCACAAACTCTGTGACTCCAGTGGTGATCCTTGAAGATCTCCTGAAAATTGTACTCATGAACTAAATGACACGTCCATGAAACAAACCTATGAGGCAAATGGCTGGAAGACTTTGCTAAGGTGAATCATACAACACTGCACGCATGTTGTTAGAAGGATTTGGTTGATTACTCTATCCTGTGAAAAGATTTAGCAGCATAAGCCAACCAACTACAAACATTTAATTTAAAAAAAAAAAAGGAAATTAGGTACCAGTTGTTTGAGGGCCTGTGTAGTATTGGAGGTTAAAAAGCTGAAAAATGATGAATATCTTTTCCAAAATATGTTTGTTAATTTTCAGCGAGATCCAAAGTGAGGCTGTGAGTTCAGAAGTAAAAGTAGAGCCTGATGATTCTCCTAGACAGAAGCCTGAGCCGCCACCTGGAAAATTATCCTCTTCATCAGACTCTGTATCTGGGTAAGAAACAGAGGTTGTTATGTTAACTGCTCACCTTGTTAGTGCAACTTTTATTAAAATAAAAATAATCTGTAAGGGACAGAAAAGTTCTGTTTACAATCCAGAGTCTGTCAGGGATGTGTTCAATCTACTTAGCTATTTATCACACATATGGATTCGTTCATTGAAGCATCACAGATTAATGAGGACAGTAAGTGTAGTGTAATTAACGGTTCTTTATTAATATCTTACCCCAGATTACATCACAGGATAGTCCAACATTTTAGAGGTTGGTGAGACTGGGTTTTCCGGCTTTCTGACGCTTTTAATGACCCCAAAGCATCTAGAACTGGCCCTAACCCCAACCCACCTACGTCCCACGAGAGAGTGCAGCCTAGGTCCCACAAATTCATGCAGCCTAGGTCCCACGATTGCATGCAGCCTATCTACCACCCCCTGAAATATTAGACTTTCCCGTGACCTGTGGATTTCCCCTGTTTGGGGTAGGATATTAATAAAGCACCCAACTAACTCCTCTTTGTAGACGACCAAGCCCTCATGGCAGCTGCAGAGATGCCTGGATGATCTAAACACGTAAGTGATGGATGGAGGGATGGAATATCCGATGCTGTGGATACCAGTATCTGCATAGCACATACCAAGACTCACACCTGATGCCTCTGCAAAACCTGACACTGGAAGATAGAATAGCACTCAAGAAGGAGAGGACCAAAGGGCTGTGAAATGTTAAAAGCTTCCAGTGTAGTCTGTCTAAGAGTTTTTTTTTTTTTGAATCTCAAAGTGTAGTCTGTTTCTTATAAAGCTTCAAGTGTAGCCTGTCTGTTTCTTATAAAGCTTCAAGTGTAGTCTGCTTCTTATAAAGCTTCAAGTGTAGTCTGTCTAGAGTTTTTTTTTTTTTTTGAAGCTTCAAGAGTAGTCTGTTTCTTATAAAGCTTCAAGTGTAGTCTGTTTCTTATAAAGCTTCAAGTGCAGTCCGCTTCTTATAAAGCTTCCTTGTACTGGAAATTAGAATAGGACTCATTTTCCCCACACAGGGAAAGGGTTTGCTGAAATTGGATGGTTGGGCTGAAAGGCGCAGAAATCGCAACCTAGCTATAATCCACAACACAAATATTAATTGTAAGCAAGGATATACTCCTTTTGTGAATTCACACCTCATGACAGTCAGTAAAAGAGTACCTTCATCATGTGCCATGCAGATAAGCATAGATGGTCATGGTTACCATTTCAGATGTTCACAAGAATCACAGATTAAGACAATGTTGGTGTCCTACCCGAGCCTTCCCTATGCACTTTTTCCCCCATCAAGTGTGTGGGTTGTCAGCAAGTTTTTTTTTGGTTCTCATGACGTCCCCCAAAAATTGTAACTGGTTGCATTTCTCCTTCTTTTTCTTCTTCTTCTTCTTCGTGTTCACCGGCTTTAAACTCCGGCAGAAAGTTCTGGTTGTTCGTCCAATTCTAGACTCTAGTCCTATTCCAGAAACTGAGTGTTGCTTTCACATCCATTTCACAGGTCTGACTCATTTCCATGTTGACCGTTGATTCCTTGCCTCTCAGGCAGATGTACTCCGACTTCAAAGGAAGCTCTCATTTAGTTGACTCATACAACATGCTTTTGGGCAGGCAGTGGGTCTATTCTTGTTTTCCCCCACAATGGGACCCCAAAACCCACACAGGGAACTGGCTGCACCACTTTGAATTGGTTTTGACCCTGGTATTGAAGCAAATAGAGGCAAACTACTGAATGTAAAATTACCTAGTGAGATCACAAACAGCAACAACAACAAATGCTGGGGCTGGTTCTGCAACATCCTGTAAAGCAGGGCTATTTAACTGGTAGTCTGAGGACAATGCCTGGCCCGTGGAGGCCTAGCAAGTGGCCCGCAGATCAGTGCCAGGCTGAATTGTATTAATGATCTTTGTATGCTGGGGCTCGAGTCTCTGGCCCGTTAACAATCTCAGTTTTCGAAATATCAGCCCGGAGTAAACGTAGTGGAATAGCCCTGCTGCCAATGATGCGCAACTGACTGAAACATTTATTATTTTTCTAATCAGGGTACAATTTTCATCTGCCTTTGGGAGGATTATCTTGTTTGTTTTTTCATCAGCCAGCGATAACATTTTTGCATTTTTTAAAGAAATTTTTTTTTTTTTTTAATTTGTCTGCTTTATTTTAAAAAGCATTTGTGCAATGATTAATTGGGGTCATTTTCTCTCCATTTATATTGCCAGCGAAGTGAAATAACTGTTTTCCCCACCCCACGCCTCGTGAGTTCCAACGCCTCATGGGGGGGGGGGGGGTGTAGGGGGGAGGGGGTAGACCTACTAACCCACTACACATCATGCAACCACCATTTTCAGGGGTAACATAAAAAGAAGAAGCATTGAGCTAACATCTTTATTCTTTACCCACTTGTTTCATTTCAGGAGTGAGAGTGGCAGTGAGGTGGAAGCATCAGTGCCCAAAAACAACGGTGGGCTGTTCAAGTCAAACCGTGCAACTTCGGGCAGCAATTACAGAAAGAGGAAAGCAGATACTTCAGATTCAGATGAGGGCAGAGAAAAAACTAAAGGACGAAAATCATCACATATCCACAAACGACGGTCTTTGTCACAGTCGAAATCAAGATCACCTCGTAGAAGTAAAAATGAGAAGGATTATTCCAGGGAAGATAGCAGCAAAGTACAAGCTTTGAAACATAGAAGATCCCAGTCTCGTTCACCTTCTCTGGATGTTGACAGGAGAAGACGAGACAAGTCCAGATCTAGAGAAAGAAGTAAGAAAGATCATAGCTCAAGAGAGAGTAGCAGAAAAAACAAACACCAGAGATCAAGATCCATGGAGAAATCTAGAAGATCAAGGTCAGCTTCAAGAGAGAAGTCTAGAAGATCAAGGTCAGCATCAAGAGAGAAGTCTAGAAGATCGCAGTCAAGAGAAAAGCTCAGAAGATCACGGTCAAGAGACAGGTCCAAGAAAAAGAGTTCAAATCCAAGAAGTAATATTGAAAGAGGTGGACCTTCTAAATCAGATTCTGTTGACCTAAGAAGAAAGTATAATCCTTCAAAAACACCATCCTCAGGAGAAGATGGTGAAAAAGAACAATTGAAGAACAAGTCCACAGAAGAAATGAAATCGTCTAAAAAATCAGACAAAGCTGAAATCAAGGGAAAAGACAAGAGGTTAAATAAAGAATTTAGTGGACAAAGCAGTACTTCTCCATCTTCCGAAAAAAGTGATACTGCAACAGCTGAAAAAGATATAACTGGCAAGTCTGAAAGTGCCGACTTGGCAATACCTGCTAGCAAACCACTTCCTGTCGATCCAGCTAAAAGGGTTTATCCTCATCACAATTCATCGAAGGATATTGAAGAAGCAAGGAAACGTTATCTACAAAGAAAAGCAGCAAGTGGAGGAATAGTTTAAGGATACTTGAGTTTTTTTCGGTTTAAGTTTGTTACTGGTATAAAGAAACTACCATCTGTAAATTTATATGCAGCATGTTTGTTAATTTTTAATTAATCTGAGCGGGTGTAAGAGAGTGTGTAGCTAGGGTGTGAAACTGAGCGTAGATGTTCATTGTAGCCGCCAATCGCAAGTATGTAGATGTCACCTGATTGATTGCACATTAAACGTTATTTGTATTGAATAAGATTTGAATTTAATATCTGGTATATTTGTATAGCAGAATGGAGGGAATTAAATGGTAAGATAGAATCACTAATGTTTAGCTTTGGGAGAGAACTAGTCAAGTTCCAGTGAAGAAAAGAAGATGGCATTGGATAGAACACACTTTGAGAAAACATAAGAACAAAAAGACTTGAATGATTTTGCACTAAAACCCACAAGGGCGTAGAAATAAAGGTAGCCCAAAAGAATACACAGAGAAGGGAGCTAGCGAGTGAAGTTAAAAAGGATGGGGAAGACTAGAGTTAGCTGCATGCAATATAGAAGAATAGCATAAGTTGTTTGAAAGCCTATGCTCAATTGGGGGATAGATTTACAGACAAGACAGAGAAGCTGCTGGCCAAACAGTTAAGAATACTAGGGTTTCATGCGGCAGAGCCAGGTTCAAATCCTCAGTAAGGTTGTGGATTTTTTCTGTCGGTGGCGAAAATAAAATCCAAATTTGCACAGTTCTTGGCAACAGCACTGGCCATGCGGCCCTAAATCCTCAACTTCAAAAACCAACTTTCTGCCTCTGTCTCATCATCATCATGTAGCAGGTCCTTTGCAGAACGTCGCTGTCATCACAGTCTGCCTGAAAGAAACTCGGTCTCTCGCCAGTTTTCCCACCTCATGAACTTTCACACTCAAGGAGTCACTTTTATCCTGTGCCTATCTTCGTATCGGTTGGCCACTGCCTCTGTCTACACCGCGAAAATAGTAAATACACGCACTAATAGGTAGTTTTTACAAACAAGACTTGAGATGGGCCTTATCTGCCAAGACTAGACTGCATCTTTTTTGGAGAATATTACCATGAACTGTACTGTCAATATCTTGTATCATCCATTCTTTTATATGGGCATGAGAATGGGATTCTAGAACTGTATCACAGATCCAGGCATTCTCCAGGGTATGCCGGTGTGTTAGGAAGTGAACATAAGACCAGACTGGTTGGTTCTGCACAACTTGGTGGAATACTGATCCATGAAAAGGCAGACGTGGTTAGGGCCTTGTGGGAGAAAGTGTACAATTCAGAGGAGCAAATGAATCACCACCTTTCACCTCTGAGATGATGCAGCGGGGAGTGATGAGAGGATCTGACCGATACTCACCGCTCAGAGGAAGGCAAGACGAACGTATAATTAGAATACTGCTGGCACCATTGGTACTGGAACTTTGTGCTGGCTGCTGAAGATGGGGACAGAGCGCATACTGGAATGCCCCAAATGCTGTGATAGCGGTTCTTGAATCAACTCAATTCCAGGCATTTAAATATAAATGCCTAAGGGTAATTCTGGGAGAGGCTAGATGCAGTAAGGAGTGAAGAGCAGATGTCTTAGAGAAAACCAGTATCAGAACAATAGGGTATCAACATTTTTATGTGGAGTTTGTGGCAGAGACTGCCACTCCCACATTGGAATTTACAGTGTTAGCTTACAGTAGTAGCAGACGCTGTTTCCAGGAACTGATGGTTCTTCTTCTTTAGCATTCTGAGCCCCTGAGGTCCATTGCTGCAGATATCCCCTGCATCAATGTATCTCTCTGGTTGGCCTTCTTTTTCCAGTTGGTGACACCATGCATTTGCAGGTCTGTCTAGACATTATCTCTCCATCATCTTCTTCATCTGCCTCTTGTATACAGTTTTTGCTTCTCTGTCATCTGACATTCTTTCAGTATGCCCCAACTATCTGTCTATTAGCTTTTATGATGCCAGTTATCAATGATGATTTAAATAGATTATTAATTTAATTGTTATTTCTCATGCTCCATTCACCGCTGTTTGTATCTTTGATGAGACTGATGGTTGCCTCCGGTAAATTTTGCATATAAGGTGTAGACAATACAAAATAAATGCATTCAGTGAATAAAGCTTCAGGTTGAGGTGGTACTGTTGCTGTCAAAGAAGACACAACTGGCAAGACTAGAGTGTTGGACTTCCACTGCAGAAATAAAGTAAAAATATACAGAGTAAGCGGTATCTTATTCTTCTTCTTCTTCGCGTTCACCAGCTGTAAACTCTGGCGGCAGGTTCTGGTTGCTCGTCCACTACTGAACTACAGTCTTGCTTGAGAACCTGAGTGTTGCGTGTGCATCAGTTTTACAGATCTCATTCTCTTGAATACAGACTGTTGGTTCCTTGCCTCTCCGGCAGATGCACTCCGACTTCAAAGGAAGCTCCCCAATTAGTTGACTCTTACGACATGCTTTTGGGGAGGCAGTGGGTCTATTCTTGTTTTCCCCACAATGGGGCCCCGGAACCCACACGGGGGAGGTATCTTATTAAATGCCGGCTTGCTAAGTCCAACTTGGTATATGTTCTGTTTTGACATGAAAAGTTTTTCTTGCTGTTGGACCTTTGTTTAGCATATGGTTTGCGTGCACAATATACTTACTACAATAGTTTGAAAGACAGTTAAAATATATTAAATGAAAAATCTATACTCCTAAAATCTTATACAGTTAATACATAAGCTCCGCAATATTGAATAACCAAACATAATTGAAATAGAAAGAAAGTTAGTTAGTCGACAGATTATCCTCATTGCCCGTCGAACCCCTTTGTCAATAAGTGCTCGGATCCCCTCCTCAATAAATCCAGTTCTGTGTTAATTGATTCTTCTTCTTTGGCTACCCGCATAGTGTTCTTTTTTGGCGACACCCCGTTTAACTTGCAGTCTGACCATGGTTGCAGATTCACAGTTCTCAGTTGGTTCACTCAGACGTCTTAACTCTCTTAGAGGATTCAGTATATCAATTGAAATAGAAATACACTACATATCCCAAATATAACCTGGAGGGATTGAACAGGATATTGTTATTTAAATTACTACTTCTAATACCCCATGTCATGCCTGCCTTTAATCTCATCCTATGATTCTCTTTTGTATGTTTTTTTTTTGGGGGGGGGGGGGGGGGGGGTAAATCTTTATTCACTTTAACTTGTAGTTTAGAGCTATCCAAAATTTTCGTGTTGATAACAAGCAGTTTAGAAAAACATAATTTCGTGACACGTTAGTTTCAGTCTACTAGCTTACCAGAGGTTAAACCAACCTCACTTTAGAGATTATTCTTTTTAAAGCTTTACTTTCGCATGGCATTAATACATCGCGACACAGCTAGGAAAGCTCTGCTATAGGTTATTAAGGACATCTGGTTATAATATTATGAGATCTTCTTGTAACGCGGTGAATCAGGCTAGTTGAGTATCCTTTACTGGATGCTGCAGAACCAACCCCAGGAGTTTGCCATTGCTTTCTGGACAGCCGGCATCTTGTTACCACTGTTTAAACCAATGCAAGGCCCGCAGCTGGGATCGAACTCCGCACCCTGGCATTACGAAGGGCGTTCGCAACGCCTAAGCCACAGACACCGACCAGATCACAGGCGTGAAGAAAATTGAAGGCTGTTGAGATACTGTACTTCGTACATGGCCTGCTGTAGTTGCTTCATACCCCACCTCGAGAGCCGGCAGATCTTGCTGGTTTAACAGATCCTTATGCAAGACTCTTGCACCACGTCGTGTCGTACTGATAACGGCTTATATCGGCCTAACCCGTGTTGACAAGGGATCTCAGTGTCCAGAGGTATATTGTCCAGAAATCCGCTGGCTCTCATCAGCCCACCCCCTCCCCCTCCAATGCACTAGTGGTAAAAAGTCCAACAAAAACTCATTCAGAACACAGATGAAGCTCACTGGCCGAATATCCTACTATGACAAACATTGGTTCAAACGTGTGTTGACCAACAGTCCCACTGAACTGCTTATTAGGCTCATGTTTTCGTCGATCAAGTGACCTCCTGCATAACAGCAACATTTTAGCTGTTCAAGCATTGAAAGTTCTGTGTGACAAACAAGGTTATAATCTACGCTACCAGTGCCCTCCCACCCCCATAATTTTAAAAGGCATATATATTTTATAAATTTTCTTAGATTAGCTGATGTAATTTAAAATAGTAGGGGCCTCAGGGCATTGAATAGCTTAGGGTCTCATCAGTTCTAAATCCGGCAATAGATGGCGGGGAAAGTCCATGTTCTGCTTGTGTCTTCTCCTGAAGGGCGACCCGTCAGCGCGTAACCACCCTGAGGGAGTTCTCTGGGGCAACACATCTTCTTCTTTCCATCCTCTTTTATCGCTTTGGGTGTCGAGGGAGATGCAAGGTTTTGCTTCATGCTCTTCTGGCTGCTTCGACCAAAGACAGATCGTGGTGCTGTAGAGTTTCTCTGATATCTTCCCATTTTGTTCTTGATCTACCTCTTGCTCTACGTCCCTTTCCTTTTTCGGTATATACCTTATATGGTGTAGTATCAGGAGGTATTCTCTCCAAGTGGGCAAACCATTTGATTTGCTGTCTTTGTATATAAATTAGAATTAGTTCTGTGCCGACTTTATTTCGTATGACCTCATTCCTGATTTTATCTCTTCTGGTCACTCCTACAGTCATTTTCAGACACCTCATTTCCATGGTTACTAATTTTCTATTTTGTTTTATTTTGAGTGACCACGCCTGGCACTGATAGCATAGGGAGGGAATGAATATGCTTTGTATGAGATGTTTCTCTGTGCTGATTGTGATTGCCTTATGCTCTCAGACTTACAGGAAACAAGAGGTATAAAGAGGACACAATACAACCAATGGTTTGTCGTGTACCTCGAAACAATGCCTACAGTCATCATAAAGATGGCTGAAAAGCTCAGAATACACACTAATTTGGATAGCCTACCGACCCCAAAGAATTGGGTTCAAATCCGCTAGTA